CAAACTGAACAAGACAAGAGATGGATTCTAACTGTCCCCACCAGTCTTTCTGGGATGTTCATTCAATAGAATCAACATCAGTTTGGGGTATTGATCCCCATGCCTCATTCCTAGAAATGTATTACGGCTCAAAAATAAGTTCAATATGACAACATCAAATTGTCCTTGGCTAACTTGTGCCTCTTTATACATTGTCAATATTAAATAATGTCATGGCACATTATTTTTGGTAAGTTCCCTAGAAATGAATATTTTAAAATAATTCAACCTGCAAAGTTAACTAAAAATGTGTTCAAGGATGGGTAGTACTTTGGCAGTTTTTCTTCTTTACATTTAAAAGGATTTTTTTTTCTTTTTCCTTTTTGTGCATGTGCGTATGCATGTTTGTATAGGTATGTATACACACCTATGTGCCTGTATGTGGAAACCAGAGGACCACTTCAATGTCATTCTTACTCAGAGTTCCTCCTCGGGCACTATATCCATTAGTTTTTTTGAGACAGGGTCTCTCACAGAGACCTAGGACTTCCCTGATTAGGATAGGCTGGATGGAAATCAAGGCCTGTCTCTATCTCTCTGTTGATGGGAGTATAAATGCATGTTACCACGCCTGGCCTTTTGTTACATAGGTTCTGGGGACTGAACTCCAGTCCTCATGCAGCAAACACTTTACCAACTGAGCTATCCCATCAGCCCTTAGTTTCTTACATATGGATAATTTCCAGTTGTTTTCAGATAAATTTCATGAGATGCTTCACACTGACACAGAACAAAAGGTGCTATGGACTGACTGAAAGAATCAAGAGGATAGCAGGTATAGTGAAAAGTGCCAAACTTGGTCTGTTTGAGAGGCCTGTATAAAGGGTAGCAACAGACCACTGACTATATCCTCTGAGTCTAGAATCAAGATAGAATTAATTTCCCTGTCAATAATTATGTTAATATGAAAGCTGCTTTCTCTTTCATTTCTATGAGATTTATTTTTTGGTCTTTTTGAGACAGGGTCTTCCTATAGCCCCAGATGGCCTGGAACTCACTGTGTAGACCAGGCTGGCCTTGAACTCACAGAGAGCCTCCTGCCTCTGCCTCCCAAGTGCTGGGATTAAAGATGTGTGCCACCACGCCTGGCCTATGCGAATTTTTTTTAAATGAAGGTCACCCTGTAGCCCTGGCTGGGCTGGCCTGGAATTCTCTGTGTAGACCAGGCTGGCCTTCACCTCACAGAGATCCACCTGCCTCGGCCTCCTGAACACTGGAATTAAAGGCATGCACCACCACACCCAGCTCTATGTTTTTTAAAAGAAATCTCAAAAGCAACCAGTATAGATGACAATTTTTGTAGTTCTGTTTTCCTACTACAGATTTATTATACATTTGTCATGAAAATGAAGAAATTTTAGTCCTTCATTTAAAAATTTACAGCAATGGGGGTTAACAAATACTTCAAAAGCTTTCGATTTAAACACGTTTTAAAAAATGGTTAAGAAATAAAGGCATTTGAAAACTATCCATTTTAGTCTTTATGTGACATTTAAACCTTAAAAGTAAAATACTGTAAACAACATTTGTAAAAGTCATTGTAAAACAAAGATTAATGCAATCACATTCCAGGGGTTCAAACCAGTGACTCCCAGCAAGGTGAGGATTGGGGATGAGTAAGCACGCCGTTCGCCAGCCCACACCGCCCCCATTACCCAGGGACACTCAGACGCAATGGGGAGTCTTACTCAAGCAGAGACTCATTTATTGCAGGTGTTGCAAATCTTACAAAGGCACCTGGAACTACCCCCTCCCCCCTGAGGGTGTATCTTAAGGATGGTCACGGCTGATCACATACTCCTCAGCAGTCTGAAGTATTCTTCAGACTTTCAAAGCAAGCCAGGCCATGGCCCCAGTAACTTCCTTTCAGACCTATGCAAGGTGGGGCTTTTAGGTCCCCATATATCCCCCTTTTTATTTTTATTTTAAGGCCTGACTGACTTTATTTCACGGGTTACCCACCTCATAGGTGGCTCCCTGAGGAGAGATGGCTATCTCCTTTCTCTAATCTTATGCATTTTTGCCAGTCTTAGGTTATGTCACCTCTGATCAAGCCTTGCCCATCATTGGATCATGTACCTGGCCATGTGCATGTCTTGTCTTAGGAATACTTGTTGTGGGACATCTTACCCGTCTTTAGCTAAAAATGCATCATGATTAAGGGTAGCCATGTGGGTAATGCCAGCCTGTGACAGTCTTAGTCTCTGCCTAACTTGGTTAGCCAAGCATGGGCAACCAGAGGAAGTCCTGGGGAAGTCCGTAATCATGAGGAGGTGGGCCGTGGCAGTTCCAAGGGTCCTCTGTCACCGAATTATCTGGTAAAGACATTTAAAGATAAGCATTATCAAGAGAAACAAAGCAAGTCATGGCGTAGGACAAGTTGAAATATTTCGGAG